GCTCGCTTAACAAAGAAGTCGGAGAGTGATTTAGCAAAGAGATAGCTTTATTCATCAACTCAAACACAACTCCAACACAGATCAACATCAGATAGCCAGAACAGCTTTTGCATTAAAACTGTTCCCTTTTTAAACTCTCCCGGCTAATATAGCCACGCCTTTACTGTACATTATCAACCAATGAGATTGTCTTTATAAGGACCAATCATCGATGTTCCCACTCAGGGGGCCTGCTGATGTGCGATTGGTTGGTTCTTCCTGGGCTAGCTATGCAATTGGGTGCATTAGGATCCTAGCCCAGGACGAAGCTTAACATTGATTTTCTATGAGGTGATTCGCATACATGTTTAGGCATTCAGTGACAGCTATTGAATACACTACAGTGTCCAAGTTTGTTTCAGGATACCAGTTATTTTGGAGAAGGAGCGCAGGGAAATTCTGACACAAAAGGCCACGTTAGGACTGGGAGAAGCTGCCTTCCCTCAGCAACTTATGCAGCCATGGACTTCTTCTTCTCACATCTCTGAAATTTTACATTTCCTCCCTAGAATAATAGGAACGTTTGTCAATAAGCTGCCTTGTGAATGTTCAATATGAATGACTAAATTCAGTTCATAATATTGTAACAATATGGGCATATTTTTCCCTGACAGGAAATCCCCATTGTGTCAAATTGATCATCTGAAAAGGTCGCTCAATTCTGGTAGCACGACTTGTCTGCATACAATCTCCCCTCAGCATTCCCCACTGAATTCAGTCCAGGAGGGGTGTGACCAGGGGTCATTTCCTGCAGGAGCGCACAGGAGCGGAGCTCTGGCAGTAAAGAGCCCAGGGGGTGGGCACATGCAACAAGCCCCACCCCCTGCTCCCAGCAGCCCTCAGTCAGAGCAAGAAGCAGCCAGGTAAGTTGCAGAGCTCCCTCCGGCCCCTCAGTCCAAAACAGTCCAGTGGCACCTTTAAGACCAAGTTTTATTCAGGTACAAGCTCTCCCTCCTCTGTGAGGACAGATCTGCACGTTCCCCCCCTCCCCAATAGCTAGCAATCCAAAACAGTCCAGTGGAGCCTGAGTGGTGGGTGTTGCCTTCTGACACACTTCCGGTGATGTCAAGGGGTGTGGCATATGCAAATGAGTTATGCTAATGAGTTATGCTAATGAGCTCCTGCACCTCTTTTTCTACGAAATGACCTCTGGGTGTGACTGGAGAAGACCAGAAAAACCAGCATGTAAGGGCACTCCTTAGGTTTGCAGGAACCAAGTGCCTTTTGAAGTACACAGCTCAGTATTTCATGGGACAACACAGCAGTTTAGACAATCCCTCCTTGGAAGTCCTTCTTACTGAGGACAAGGTAAAAAGGCCATTTCTTGCCCCAACCTGAGGCAAAGTGACCCCATATTGCTGAAAAGCTTAACCTGGGGCACTGGGAAAGTGGCTCTGAAGCCCTGATATATTGAGTTTTGGGGTCTTTCTTTTATGCAATAGTTGACACAATTGGCGTTGCCAACCGCTGCTCCGGAAATATCTGGAGATTTGGGGGTGGAGCCTCTGGAGGGTGGGGCTTGGGGAGGTAAGAGACCTCAGAGGGGTGTAATGCCCTCCGAAGCAGCCATTTTCTCCAGGGAAACTGAACTCTATTGTCTGGAGATGATCTGTAATTCTCGGAGAGCTCCAGCTCGCACCCGGAGGTTATGTGTAAGAAGAGAGACAGTCACGAAACAAAGTATAACATCACACTTGAAGGTGAATACCGACTTATTGGAATTTGGTATTTGCATTTGAATAGCTGTATATTGGCGTCCCGAACTTGATGAAACTAGGAGTGAAACGGGTGTTCCAAATTGACTCCCCATGCCGGGACCATTGATTTTTCTACTGAACGGTTGACGAAATATGAATTTTTGAAAACGATCCCCGAATTGTCCGAAGAACATTGCCCACTGAAACTGCGATAACTTATTTTCCTTTGGGACTTTTCCAGGATGTATCGGCATACCTTTTGGATTGGGACAGTCATATGATTATGTGACTTTATGAAAACCAATTTTGTGCATGAATTATTCAGATCTGAAAGTTGCTGAGCATAACTGAAACAACATTCATAATTTGGTCACAGCTGCTTTTGCTCCTTCTTTGCTGGCAGCCCTAGACACAATCCACATTCTGTCGCAGGTACCTGCTTGTTTATATTCTGTTTCCAAACTTAGTCAATACATGAACGACTCAGGGTGGACATTGCGAATCGGGCAGGGTAGGAGAGAAGAAACAAGGCGTCTACAATGGAGAAATCTACTCCTCTGTTCTCTTCGCATTATTGCATAGCTTCCTTTCTCCTGCCAAAGACGGAGAGGCACCTGGCGGAATCCGATCCCGCCTCAAACCCTGCACACAGAAGGCTGGATGCTGCACAGTGCCCACAGACAGCACTGGAAGAAGCAGATCTTCCCCATTTCTCCCTGTGAGCCTCCAAAGGGGGAAATGACACAAAGTGGAAGGCTAGGGTTACCAACCTCCGGGTGGTGGCTGGAGATCTCCTGGGATTACAACTGATCTCCAGGCGACAGAGACCTGGAGCGGGTCTATGGTGTTACACCCCACTGAAGCCCCTCCTCTCCCCAAACCCCACCCCACCTTATGCTTCCCCCCAGGTGGCTGCAACCCTATGGAAGCTGGCAACACTATGGGAGACTTAGGAAACTGCAAAGCCACGCAGCTTGGCTGGCTGGACTGAGAAGACAAAAATCAGACAAAAAGGACTCTCTCTCTCTGCCTGTTCAATCGGCACGACCTCAGGGCTTAGACTTGCCGACTCTGGCTCCAGGAATTCCAGGAGATTTGATGCCAGCGCCTGAGGAAGGCAGAGTTTGGGCAGAGAGAGAGAGAACTTGGTGGGGATGTGATGCCATAGAGTTTGCCCTCCCCAGCTGTCATTTCCTCCAGGGGGGGAATGATCTTTGTAGTCTGGAGGCGTGGTGTAATTCTGGGAGAACTCCAGGCCGCACCTGGAGGTTGGCAACCATAATAAAAACCCAATCCATTGCAAATTACAGACTGTGCACAGAAGGGAGAGGGGGCGCTTAGCCCTTCCACTCTGCTGGCTTTCAGTTTCACTATTCCAACTTTGTTATTGGCATTTTTAGGGCGGGCAGGCTGGGGAACGCATGTTTGTATCTTCTTAAAGGATCTTTGTCTCGCCTGTTTAAGCCCTCCAGATACAGATGCCAACCTCCAGGTGGGACCTGGGTTTCCCCCAGATTGACAGCTCATCTGCAGACTAGAGATCAGTCCCCCTGGAGAACATGGAGGCTTTGGAAGGTGGACTCTAGGGCATCGTACCCCACCGAGGTCCCTGTCCTCCGCAGGCTGAATTCCCAAATCTCCAGAGGCTTCCCAGCTTGGATTTCACAACCCTACCCCCCCCCATCCCCTGTCTTAGCCAGGGGGACCCGGCAACTCTACCTCCTGAGCAATGCTCCCTCTAAGCTGTGGAGTCTTGTGAGCAAAAATCCTACTTTGTGAGCTACTGGCATGAAAGTTGTGAGCCAGCCATTTGGCTGCTGCAGAAATTCCTTTGCTCTGGAGCCCCATCCTTCCTGAGCTAAGACAGAAATGTGTGAGCCAGAGGCTAAAAAACTGTGAGCTAGCTCACACGAACTCAGCTTAGAGGGAACACTGCTCCCGAGTACCCAATGCAGGTTTCCCCAACCCCCAGTGTTGCTTTTCCGCAGTCACAAGTGGTTAGTGAGAGCCAGTTTGGTGTAGTGGTTAAGTGCGCGGACTCTAATCTGGGAGAACCGGGTTTGATTCCCCACTCCTCCACTTGCACCTGGCTGGATGACCTTGGGTGAGCCACAAGCTCTGGCACAGCTGTCCTTGAAAAAGAGCAGTTTCTGTCAGAGCTCTCTCAGCCCCACCCACCTCACAGGGTGTCTGTCGTGGGGAGGGGAAGGGAAAGGAGTCTGTCAGCTGCTCTGAGACTCCAAGTAAAGTGCGGGGTATAAATCCAATCTCTTCTTCTTCTTCTTCTACTGGGGGGAATGGGAAACACCTCCTTCCAATTCCACCTTCTGCTGAGGCTACATAAAGACGCAGCCCAGTATATCCAGGTAGGCAATTCCTGGATGCTAGTCTACAATGTGAAATAAGCACTTGTACTCTTTCCGGAATTCAGCTGTGTTGAAAGACAAGGTCTTTAATATTCCATTCTGGCGTGCCTATCTCAGTGGGGTATTTGGGGGGGGGTTTGCTCACCTTTTCTGCCAGCTGTTGAATCTCAGGCGTAGCTGGTTTGGCAGCCGTTAAACCTCCAGGCATCATGGTGACAACGGCAACTCTCTGAGAGGGCTGGAAAGTCCTTGAGAAGAAGTCTAGTCGGCGGCAGAAGTTAGTTCAGAGACTCCCTGGGCGGATGAGGTGCTTATATACTCCCTCACAGGTCATGTGACTTCTGAGTTTAACTCGTCAAGGTAGGGGATGAGAGGGGTGGGGAAGTCCACCCATACAGGTAAACACTAGAACACTTTTAAAAAAAACTGTGTTGGTTTAAGAGAACAATTGTCTTTGTATGGAGATGCAGGGGATAGGATAATTAATAGGGCACGATTAGTTTTTTTTTAATTCTGTGGTGCTTCCCTCACGAAAGGGTGTGGAATCCTCCTGACTCACCCACCAGCTTCACATGACAAGCTGCTCTTTGGAAGAGGACAGCAATTCCTCTGCCATTGCTCAACAAACAACTGGGAGAGTCATATCTGGAAGTTCGGCTTTCTCAAACAGAATTGAGCAACACCTCCCTTTGCACGGGCACAATTGAGAGCCAGCATGGTGTAGTGAACTGAGTGGCAGACCAGGTTCGAATCCCCGCTTCCACCGTGGAAGCTTGCTGGGTGACCTCAGGCCTGTCGCAAACTATTGGTCTGACCTACCTCACAGGGGTTGTTGTTGTGAGGAAAGGGAGATCGGGAGAGTGATGTTCTCACGGCAATTTGAGTTCCAGCTGTGAGGGGAGAAGTGTGGGAAATAAACAAATAAGTAAAAGGTAAAGGCTTCCCTTGCTCGAAAGCCAGTCGAATCCGACTCTAGGGGGCAGTGCTCATCTCCGTTTCCAAGCCGAAGAGCCAGCGCTGTCCGAAGACTACTCCGTGGTCATGTGGCTGGCATGACTAAATGCCGAGACACACAGAACGCTGTTACCTTCCCACCGGAGTGGTACCTATTTATCTACTTGTGATTTTTTGCTTTCGAACTGCTAGGTTGGCAGGAGCTGGGGCCAGAGACGGGCGCTCACTCCGTCACACGGCACTCGGGTCTCAAACTGCCGAGCTACAGACCTTCCGGTCTGCTGCTCAGCCTCTTAACCTCTGAGCCACCACGGCACTCCAAACAAATAAAGGCAAGCGCAATTCAGATTCCTGGTTATTACTGGCTTTTGGGAGACACGTTTTCATCATTGTTCGAAATCAGGGGTCACTTCCTGCAGGAGTGCACAGGAGCGGAGCTCCGGCAGTAAAGAGCCCAGGCGTTGGGCACATACAACAAGCCCTATCCCCTGCTCCCAGCAGCCTTCAGAGCAAGCAGCAGCCAGGTAAGTTGCAAAGCCCCCCCCCCGGTCCAAAGCAGTCCAGTGGCACCTTCAAGTTTTATTCAGGTACAAGCTCTCCCTCCTCTGCGAGGACAGATCTGCACGTCCCCATCCCCCCAATAGCTAGCAATCCAAAACAGTCCAGTGAAGCCTGAGTGGTGGGTGTTGCCTTCTGACACGCTTCCGGTGATGTCAGGGGGTGTGGCATATGCAAATAAGTTATGCTAATTAGTTATGCTAATGAGCTCCTACACCTCTTTTTCTAAGAAATGACCCCTGGTCGAAATCAAAACATACAAGGTCCAAGGACTTATATAGGGTTTCAATCCCATTTTGAAAGCTGCAATACTTTAAGGGATTTTTAGGGAGGGAAGACAGCACGGTATAGCGCAATCTCATCAGATCTTGGAATCTAAGCAGGGTCAGTACTTAGATGGGAGACCTCCAAGGAAGCCTCTGCAGGGGAAGGCAATGGCAGACCACCTCTGCTCCTCACTTGCCTTGAAAGCCCCTCCCTGGGTTCATCATAAGTCTTGGGTGGGAGACCTCCAAGGAAGACTCTGCAGGGGAAGGCAATGGCAGACCACCTCTGCTCCTCACTTGCCTTGAAAGCCCCTCCCTGGGTTCATCATAAGTCTTGGGTGGGAGACCTCCAAGGAAGACTCTGCAGGGGAAGGCAATGGCAGACCACCTCTGCTCCTCACTTGCCTCGAGAGCTCCTCCCTGGGGTCATCATAAGTCTTGGGTGGGAGACCTCCAAGGAAGCCTCTGCAGGGGAAGGCAATGGCAGACCACCTCTGCTTCTCACTTGCCTTGAAAGCCCCTCCCTGGGGTCATCATAAGTCTTGGGTGGGAGACCTCCAAGGAAGGCTCTGCAGGGGAAGGCAATGGCAGACCACCTCTGCTTCTCCCTTGCCTTGAAAGCCCCTCACTGGGGTCGCCATAAGTCTTGGGTGGGAGACCTCCAAGGCAGACTCTGAAGAGGAAGGCAATGGCAGACCACCTCTGCTCCTCACTTGCCTCGAGAGCCCCTCGCTGGGATCACCATAGGTCAGCTATGACTTGACCACACCTTTACACACACACAAAGGATTTTCAAGACCCAGTTTTTCTGCTTCAGAAGCATTTTGCACGACTCTCTCAACAGGATCAACCACCTAAAACAACATTCTAAAGAACACCACCACAAAACCACAAGCGATTCAGCAAATTCATCTCATCAGCTGCAGAACAGCTGCTGTCTCCTTCCTGGCTGCCAGTATAAAAATTTAGGTGTGGCCAGATGTGCAAGCCCTTGTCCAGGACCCCAAAGCTTCTTGGTTCTCGTGTCGCACCCTGGGGTCTACAACCGTCCAACCAGTCGATGAGGGCCAATCCAGGGCGTTTGTTTTCTTATTACACTTTAAATTAAGCAGGGGTCATTTCCTGCGGGAGCGCACAGGAGCGGAGCTCCAGCAGTAAGGAGCCCAGGGGGTGGGCACATGCAGCAAACCCCGCCCCCTGCTCCCAGCAGCCCTCAGTTGGGCCATGAGGAGCAAGAAGCAGCCAGGTAATTTGCAGAGCCCCCC